GTTTGTCTTTTCCAATGGAGCCGTGCAACTTGTAAGACGAGCACATGGTGAAAAAACTTCGAAACTTTTCTGAATGTTGCGAGCAAACCAACCAATCTGCTTCACTCTTTGTATGGAATATACACATTTTAGTAGAAATGGCAGAATAATAACCTCAGACAAACACAGCGCACCCAAACACTGCAGTACAGGTTTGTCCGTTTGTCATCCTCTGAGGGAACTGTCGATGGTCGCCTAGTTATGAGAGATACCATAGAAAATGGTGAAGGAAACCACGTGCTCGCGCTTGTCACTTCAGGTCACAATAACAACACATGCGAAAATGAGTGCCGTATAGCGGCAGTGAGGAGACAGTCAGTAAAAAAGTATGTAAAGATGTTGCCAGAGTTTTGGTTTATTTTCTTGTGCATCCCAGCCACTAGCACCCCATCTGAAAGATATTTTAGTATAGGAGGTTTGTTATCATTTAACTTAACAATTTGCAATGTTGCAGTGTGTATTTAAATAATGATGGCTGGTTCCTTTACTTAAAAGCTCAGATTTGATTATCATAATTTGTTTTGTTTACCGAGTTTTCATTTTTTCTACATTTATCCAGACCTTTTCAAAATGCTAAAAATTATGTTTTTAATTACTGTAAAGTGAAGTGGTTTTATCCTTAACAGGTGAATCGCTCTTTAATAAGTGCATTACCCTATCAAAGACTCATGCTGCTATAAACAATTTATTAATCAAAACTTTAAAAACCTCTCTTTTCAAAATAAACCAAGTTATACATTATGCGGAGACTAGAAAATGAAAATAATCCATGTCAGTAATACGATTAAACCATTGGTGCCTAATAACATCAAACACTGCCAATTGACGGCAGTTTGATAACAGTAACACTTTGTTAACACTAAGATAGGACACTAAATTTCAGATCACTTTCTTTCAGTCTTTAATTTTTCATCCCATAATATGTTTAATAATTGTATAAGAGATGCTTATCGGATATTTCAAATGACATAACTGAAATGCAAGGATCACTGAGCAAGCAACTTTAACTCTAAACACTCAAAAGAAAGAAGAACAAAAAGGTATTACAAATCAATCGCAGACACAGTAGTATATGTGAAGTCTTTCAGTGCACAACGTCTATGATTGTGGACCCGTGGGTTACACTGGCCACAATAGCAAACTACTATTAGGTTTCAGCATGTGTCACAGGATATTGTAACTATACACTTGATCAGTCTGTCTCTGGGAAAATATTTCGTTTAAGCTATTAACCAGAACAAAGTGGTTGAACAAAATGCTCCAAATGCACTGGTAGGAAAAAACAACCTATAAATAAATTATTTATATATATATATATATATATATATATATATATATATATATATATATATATATATAAAAAACTTACCATAGCCAGTCCAGTCAAAATATAATTTATGAGAAAAATAACACCGTAATATGATCTTAACCCGATGAGCACAAAAACTTTATCAAATTACGATTTTTAAAAAAAGAACTACCACATATTTTTTCATTTTTCTATTGGGAAAACTGCCAGCGTGTCTGCAGAGTACAGCTGGACCCGTCTTAAATGAAGCACTCGTGATCTGAGGATCAAAGCTTCATTTAATGACACAATTAAATGAAATGGAGCATAAATAAACAGATGTGTGGGACATATATTGAAGGTTATTCGCTGCAGTTATTGGGATGAAAACTAATGGACAGTTTATGTAATCCAAAAGTCCTTTTGTTTGCGTTACTGGAGCAACGAGTCTTGCATTAACAAAGCTTGTACACAATAGTGCAGTATTCAGAAGTGCTAAAGGTCTCTGACTCCACCCTGCCCAACACTATATTCTGCACAACTGATAAGACTTTCTGTTTAAATGAATTTCCTTTGACTGTATACTCTCATTAGTATCCTTCCTTTCAACTGTCTAGCATCAGATATCACTGGTTTTTTTTTCTTTGAAAAGGTCAGTTTATTTTTCTTCCTTTGTTAGCGTTCTTCCTGCTGCACTGGTGCTGTTCTTGGGTTAAATCCAACTCTTGAAACTGCTAAAAAACATTCTGTTTGCAAAAAACAACATTTTTGTTGCTTAGAAAACCCATCTACGCATTTTATGTGAAGGTTAGTTCACACCAAGCTGACATTTCTGTATTTATTTGCTCATCTTTGTGACGTTTAAAAAATAAGAATTAGAAATTTGTTCTTTTGTTTGTAGACAAAGGAAGGTGTTTTACTTAAATCAGGGTGCAATTAAATTCACTGCAATAAAAACACTGAAGTACCGCACTATATACATTACACTTCTAATGTTTTTTCTAAGACTGATCAAAAGCATTTACGATTTATTAGGCCATACTGTAAATGCAACAGGTGTCTAATAGAATTATAAATGGAGACAGCTTGGCTAAAGTAAGGCTAAACTTGGGCTGTCAGGGAAAATCTAATAGATGTTTAAGAATAGGCCACACTTAGACTAGTTGTCAAATAGACATTAGAAAGACCTTAAAGTCATTTATTTCTGTTTATTTGATGATTAGTCTATGTATTAGGATATTCTTAGACATCTATTAGATTTCTACTGACAGCCAAAATGTATCCATGTTTTAGCCATGACTGTTTAGACATCTATTAGACATCTATTGGACATCTTTAAAAACAAAACATGCTTGCTGGGTTTTAAAATTTTACCTTATGTTTTGATTCTGTTTTAAAGTCTGTCTTGTATATTGAATCGCACTAATAAGAAAGATTAATGTGTTTATTTTATTTTGGGAATGAGTAAAGGGGATATTGGACTATCATATCTTCAGGTCAAGCAGGCAAACATATTATTAGTAGCGGCTTGTAAACATCAGTCAATTTATTTAAATTTTAATTATTAATGTATTATTTTTTTTACTTAATTCCAACTGTATCAACACATTTTGGATCTTAAACAAAATAAAGACTTTACTACTTATAAAAAAGGTTCAGTCTAATCATGTTTAGTGCATTTAACTCACGTTTATAAAGCAGCAGGTGATCTTTTATCCACTGTCAAAATGTGGGGTTCCACACAATTTATTTATTTTGTCCCAACACAAATTGATTAAGTTAACTCAATACATTTAATTGAATTGGACTTAGAACAATTAAGTTGTCTTAAAAAATATCAAGGATTGTGTTGTTTAAGCTCATTTAAACAAGCAACAAAATATGTTTTGAGTGTTTGTAAATTTAAACAAATAAATTAATTTACAGTGATACTTATGTTCGCTAATCAATGTTTTTGCAAGAATATAAACAAATAAAAATGTTCTATACATAAAGACACAGGGCCTCTTCTGGAAAAAAAAAACATTATTACTTTTTTTTAATCTCTTTATAAAAAATAATGAAGCATCTGTGATTTGGGTGTATAGATTTTGAACCGAGTTTGAACTATGACTAATCTAAATTTGTGTTCAGAAGATTAACTAAAGTATTCCTTAAACAAGTACATGATGACAGTTTATTGTTTTGAGGTGAACCAACCTTTTTATGGACCATTATTAACCACTTTGTACAAAAATTGAATTTAAACAAATCACGTTAGAATTATAAGGTTCAATCTGACATTTTTGTCAAAATTGAGTTATTAATATAGTATTATTAAATGACAACTTATTTACATTATGGGATGTTTTTTATAAGTTGTTTACATTTTAAGACTTTTTATTTTGAAAACAAATGTTCCACACATACTGTTTGCTATATGGAATGCAAAAACTTTAAAGCTCAATATCTCAAAATCATTGAGTGCAGATAGAACCTTATAATTCCAATGTGATGAAATGTTTCCTACGTAGAAAAGGTGATCCATTTGCATTACAGAGACCTGTGGCATGGTTTGTTTTATTAAAAGAACATTATATTTCTTAATGAACGACAATGATAAAACAAAGCACCACAACAGGAAATGGATGTGTGCTGATTTTGATCTAATCCACATTTTAATCACCACGTTATTTATCTGTGATCATGGAAAAGGCCCTTACTCTATGAGCCTTGGCTACAACCTCACAAGATGATAAGCCACTGTGATCGACCTTATAAAAGGTATTTCAGGACCTGGGAGATTATGAAGGAGAATAGAGACATGAATGGATCTTCAGAGAGTGGCATCAGATAACAGGGTCAGAAAAATAAATGGAGCCCTGGGAGCTGTTCGAGTCTTTTGAATGATCTGCAGATGAAGGCTCTGGCGCGACAAATAATGAGGGCATCGTTTGGGCACGCTGTAAAAGTGGCACAAATTCACACTGAGTTTTCGGCAGCAGTTTCACTTTGTTTTAATTGTGTGCACAGAAAAAAAGAATCAAGTGGTTTTGCCGTACAAAGGCAAAAAGAAAGCAACTGGATATGACAACCTAACCGAGTTTTGAGTGAAACTGGATCTCATTTTAGACTATGGGCTGTACTGTTAGAGGAGAGTGAAATTTTAAATCAAATCCATCACAATTCAATCAAAAACATTTGAGCCTTTTTCTACAATTTCAGCACTGGTTTAGTCACTGCCTTTGTGTGACTGTAAGGACTAAGAATTTAATATGGGAAATTGTCATTTTAAATAGTTTTTCCCAAAGTTACATTTTAATTCTCATAATTTCATGCTGATTCGATCACTGCAATAAGACCATGCACAAGAAGAGGACTATTAAGTTCGTATTTGCACCGTGTTGTCAGATTTAACAAGCGTATGTGTGTGCGCGCGCGAGATAGAGACGTGAAAGGCAGAGTTGTTTTTTATATCCGTATGAGTGTATGCATGAGATGCAGTGTGCTTGATGTCATCATGTTGAATACATGTTTTAGAAAATCAAATGAGTTAAACATCACGATTATTCATTTAAGCGCAAAAAAAGATCAACAACAACAACAACGAAAACAAACGGGTCGCCTTTTACGCAGCGCATTCTATACATTTGAGTGACATTTGAAAGCTGTGCTGCTGTCCATACATAAATACCTTGTGTTTGCCAGCCCGATTTTTCTTCTCCTCCTTGTCGTGGGGCTCTGGCCACAGTTGACTGCTGGAGCCGTACGGGGGGCTGCTGGCTTCACTACTAGACACGGACGAGTTTCTCTCCAGCGCGCGCTCGCATCGATACGGCTGACAGAGCGCGATTTTCCCCTCCTGGTACCTGCTGTCTCGGTCACTGTGCTGCTGCTGGAGGCTGTGCTCCTGCGCGCGAGCCTGCTGATGCTGATGCTGCAACAGCGGCGCCTGCTTGTTTCTGCACACTTGCCCCGATCCGCCGATGCAGTAGTTGATCGGCAAGCTGCTGCCCAACAGTAACTGAGCCTGAGGCTCAATTAATTGCCTCTCCTTCTCGGCTTCCTCGCGCTCATTTACGTGTCCTTGACTAGAGTTTGGCAAGAGTGGCTTAAAGGAGGGGTCCCTTTGTTGATTATAACAAGGTTGCTGCAGCAACTGGTATTGGTCTCGACGCCCCCCCTCCCCGACGCGACGCTGTACGATGTCTTGTTTGTAATTAGCACTCTTTTGGCGCGTATCCCGCGTATTAGAAATGTGCGAAGGCAGAGGCGGCGGCAGCAGTTCAGATGGGGAGGGCTGCGGGGAAACGGAAGATCTCTGCTGAGGAGAATGGCTCCCCTCTGAATGACACTGATAGCCAGATGAGGCCCCTGGAAACGGATGCGGCAGGTTGTCGTAAGGCTGACGGTCGGTGCGCGCTCCCTGCGCGAGGCTGCAGTGGCCGGTCAAAGGCAGGCACTCGTCGTTCCTGGTGCCGCGGTCCGGACAGGACTGTACATGTCGGTTGTTATGTGAGGAGGTGGATCGCTCCTTTATCGATGGCGGTGGGGGCGGCAGACTAAAGAGCGGGGCGACTGGACAAGATGCTTCTTTTGGACTGTCACGAGCGTCCGCGTCGTTGCTGTGCTGCTGGTGGACAGCTCCCGCGTGCCGATGCCGCATCCCCTCAATATCCGCGTCTTGTTGTGGTTGCTCCTTTGCCTTGTAAAGCACCGACACCCATTCATTGCGATGTGCCCCAAAAGAACCGAGCTGCCTCGTCTCATTGGTGGACTCGAGCGAGACCTGCCTCGTGACGTCATCGCCGAGATGAACGCCGCCCTCGTGTGAAAACCGCTTTATGTTTACAGTGGATAAGATTAAACCTGAGATGCGAATTGGGTATTAGCAAGGTCATGCGCGCGTCGAAAGCTCAATGTCCTGGCAGGATTGACATTTTCAAGCCTGTGCCATTGCAGGTCGATTACAAAAAATAAAAATAAAAACAGCATCAAATCAAATACTTGCGGAACAGGTGCACCGCTGGAAGAAATGGCTTATTTTGTGATGGCGTAATGTGATGAGTTGAAGACAATAAAGCAATATCATACGCGCACATTCAGTACCTACAGGAAGACTAAACTAGCCAGTGAATCAGCCCCTTAAAATGAATGTTGTTTAAATCCATTTAGATTTCATAAAGTATATTTACAGTCAACGAAGAGTCTTTTTCTAGCAGAGGAAATGGTTTGCTAACTAATTCCCGAAAGGTGCTTTGAGGAAGCCAAAATTTTATCTTCTATAGGCATCCCATCACTCAATAAAACAATAAAAAAAAAAACTTTATATGTAAGGGGTTTAACTAATCTTTAAATGGTTTAAATTTAGAGATATTTAATAAAGACGCATGATCTGTTAAACTGAGTTTATGACCTTTTGCCTACCAACAGTATTGGCTGGAGTAAACATGTTTTTTGGAAAATATCTTCTGTGGACTTTTTTTATTACTTTGTAAGACTTTATTAACTTCTGTTAAATTTACATCACCAAATTTGCATGTTTACCTTGCATGTTTAAAATAAAAAAAAATGTCAAAAAATATAATCTCTGTTTCTTGCACCACTAGCACACTCAAGTCTACAATGCCATTCGTCTAATCAATCAAATTTGTGACCGGAACCGACTGTTTTATAATGTGGAATCAATCAAACCTGAAAAACACAAGGACGAATAATAAATAGCTCTTCGGTTGAACACGTGCTTTGATAGTGCTACTCACATGGACACACACTAATCAAAAACAGTTCAGTGGTTCATAAAATGTATATGATAATTTGACAGTTGGCTAACAGCAAAATATTATTTTGTAAAAATATAATGTGCAATATGTTATCTTGTATCTTTGAGTAAGTGCTAAACACACTCCAGCTTGTGCAATAAAAGGGATAAGTATCATTTTCAGTCATGATCATTTTATAATGTTCAATTGGTCAATTCACCATTTGTGAATGCACAGATACATTCAACTTCCTCACGGACATCAATGATCATTTACATTATAGTGAATGAATGGAGATAAGTGTTGGGAAAATAAGAATGCTCTCTTTGGTTCTGAAACACGCACAATTATAAGAGCTGTGGATCAGGTTTTGCTTAGATTGTGACGATCAAATGTCTCAACAAAGACGAAAATTCTACAATCCTATGAAACAGCCACTAAATGAAAAGCAGCTCAATAATCAGATTTTATTCATTCATTCGTTTTCTTTTTGGCTTAGTCTCTTTGTTAATCTGGGGTCCTCCAACTTATCCAGCACATATTTTATGCAGCAGCTTCCAGCCGCAACCCAACAATAGGAAACACCCACACACTCTTGCACACACACTACGGCCAATTTAGCTCATTCAATTCACCTACAGTATAGCGCATGTCTTTGGACTTGTGACCTTCTTACTGTGAGGCAATTGTGCTACCCACTGCTCCACCATGCAGCCCATAATCAGGTTTTACTCTTATAAAAAGCAGATGTGAAAATTCCCAAACAGCCACACCAAAATAAAAATTAAATGGATATTATTATTGACATCTACTACCACAACAGATACCCTGATAATTTAGGCCAAATGCTATGGGACTGAATGAATAAATAAATGAATAGCTACATGAATTAAACAAAAACTCATTCCTAGTTAGGCATGGGACAATCAAGGTTTTCAAGGTTTACCACAATTTGGAAAAGTCAAGGTTTTAAAACCGCAAATAATATATTTTATAGTGTTCCTAATGTACATGTCATATTTTTACAATTATTTTATTTAGTTATTTAGGGCAACAGTATCTCTAACAAGGCGACACAGTGGCGCAGTAGGTAGTGCTGTCACCTCACAGCAAGAAGGTTGCTGGTTCCAGCCTCGGCTGGGTCAGTTGGCGTTTCTGTGTGGAGTTTGCATGTACTCCCTGCGCTCGTGTGGGTTTCCTCAGGGTGCTCCGGTTTCCCCCACAGTTCAAAGACATGCACTACAGGTGAATTGGGTAGGCTAAATTGTCCGTACACTGTAAAAAATTTGACCTTAAATTCACAGTAAATTACTGGCTAATAATTGCATTACTTTCACAGTAAATTACTGTATGTAAATTCACAGTAAATTATTGTGAGGTAGTTCACAGTAATTTACTGTGGTTTTGTCACATTAAATTATTGTGAAATTACAACCATATATTGTAACTTTACAGTAGACAATAAAGTCCATTACTGTGATTTCACAGTATTATCTTGTAGAATTAACTATATTTTACTGTGAATTTGCAATATGATTACTGTGATTTAGCAGTAGGTTGCAGTTTAAATACCTGATTTAACTGTAAAGTTACAGTTATATCCCGGACTAGTGTAATTTAACAGTGTGGTGCTGTAAAATTTCAAAGCAAATTTAGGTCACACAAAAATGAAAATTCTGTCTTAATTTACTCACCCTCAGGTTGTTCCAGCTGTTAAAAAATGATTTTTTTTGTTAAACACAGGAATAAAAATATACAATACTCCCCTTTGTGTCCAAACAACCTGAGAATGCATAAATGACGACAGAATCTTCATTTTTGAGAGATCTGAGAAAAAGATCTCTAAACTCTAAAATCAAAATAAAAACAAACACACAAACATTTTACAGATTTATTTAACAGTTTAATGACATCTGTGTAAACATTTCAGAAAACTTTCAAAAGGTGAAACCTCGACTGAAAAATACTATAAGAACATATTAATAAAAAAATCTGACATCATATGAAGCATACATATAAAAACATATAAAAAGCAGTGCTTCAGAGTGCGCTCTCTCTCTCGTATATATATATATATATATAGAGAGAGAGAGAGAGAGAGAGAGAGAGAGAGAGAGAGGGAGGGAGGGAGAGGGAGAGAGAGAGAGCGAAAACTGCTTGCAAAAATAGGCAGCTGTCTATTTAAGGTCAATCATTTTCCTGATAATTGTACACACTTGCTGGTTGATGTGTCTTCTCTGCTTCTTCTCTGTCTTCCGTCCCAAAACTGGTGCCCAAAAAGCACCTATAAGCAAAAGGGCAGACAAACAGTTAGCTTCATACAACACTACAGCGCAAAATTACTGTTAGCTCAGTTTGAACATGCTGACAATACTGTAGCTCAGTCAAACTGCAATCACTTAAACAAAAACATCTGAAAAACATTTTCATCACAAACACACAATCAAGAACAGTCTAATGCTGGGTTCACACTTATTGCAAAGTGAACATGTGCATCACAGCACTTGCTCTTGAATACTATAGCAGGATGTTTCTTGCATCAAGCAAAAAAAAAGAAATTTTTCATGATTTGAATATTTGGCAAAAAATTTGCAAAACAAATTGATTTAAGTGATACAGCACTTGTGTTGTATTCACTTCAATTAAGTTTTTTTTTTGCAAATATTCTTCCACATGTTTTGAGTTTCACTTAATTTGTGCTGCCCAGTAAAAATTCCCCACTATTTATGCATTTGCAATGACTTGTATGTAATCCACTCACCTGAATAGGTAACTTCACATATGGTATAAGAGCCCCATCCTTTTAAAGACAGCTTCCTCTCTGGTCTCCAGCACAGACACACAAATTGAGTCTGCAACACACCCCTTTATTACAAGGGAAGAAGGGGAGTCATGACTTGTGCTCCTATACATTCCTTGTTTAACCCCCCAAAACCCCCTTCAGGTACAATATTAAATGTAGACATTACCTTAAATTCCAGAGTGCAAAAGGCAACTTCAGCATACTTCAGTTTCAGACCAGATAGAGACTAAATTAGAGGTGTTTGTGAATAATATTTTTTTTTTGTACAAATAAAGTTGACATTCCATGCACCACTTAATGAAAACCAAGCAAACAAACACACATGCCTAGTAAAATTGCTAATAAAAACAAAGACTATAGTTTAAAAAAATTCTTTGTCTAATATTTACTACTACTGGGGGTACTGGTGAAACTTCTGGAAGAACAAAAAGAGTTTGTACAAGAAACTGCTCACAACAAATCTGTGCACAACTTGACTTTTAAAAATCTAATCAAAATAAGGAAGGCATCAACATTACCTTGAATAATCAAGCGAGGTGTGCTTGGTAGCATCAGTGGCTGTGGCTGCAAAAAACAATAATTTATGAATATATAATGTTTAGATTGTGGTACTGACTTTAGGTTATATTTACTCAGTATGTACACTCACCTCACACTTCAGCTATACAGTAACACTCAGGACTCTCAGGTACACCTGAACACCAAAAAATTAAATGTACAGTTAACGTTAGTGACAATATACAATAAGTTTCCATTAGTAAATGTTAGCAAAGCATTAATATTGCGAGAGAGAAATAGACAGTTAATATGTACTTTGTTAGTGTTAGTTTAAAAAATATAAGTGAATTGTATTATAAGCTCCATTTATTAAAACAGTTAAGACTGTTTCATGATGGGTTTAGTTTATTTAACTAACTTACAGTGAACAAAACTAACGTTAACGTTAGCCATAATGATGGTCATAACGAGTAACGTTAACATACCAGAGCTTACCTTAACTTTATAACGTTAGTCACTTCACCTTTACTTCAGTCTTGTACTGAAGTAGAGAATGCAGTTAACGCGAAGTTAATTAAAGAATATTACCTTTCTTTTTTCAGGAACTAGCGTCATGCTATTTAATACCTCAGAAAACACTACAATCACCGTCTGGCGTCGGTTAATTTCTTGTTTAAAAATAGGCGCGCTCAGACCCTTTGTTAACTAACGCTAACGTTACTAACGTAGGACCTACAATTAAAGTAAATGACATGTACTCTACAGAAATATATATACAACAATCATTTAACGGACAAAAGTCACATTTTAACACTTACCGCAGATGAATCCGTTGAATGAAGAGACGACAGTTCAAACGCAGATGATGCCTGTGGTGGTGACGGTGCTTGTTTGCAGGCGAGTCAGCTCGGTGAATCGGCTCCTTTAAACGAACAGTAAAGAGTCGAATTCGCCTGAAACCGATTCCTTTTTGTATATTAGTGTAGGATGCAAACATATAATTCATTAATATTCCGTCATACTGCTCGGTTACACGCAATTTTTACACTAGTTGTAGACGAATTGCATGTTGATGAGTATCAGCTTATGAACACGTCTGATAAAATAACTGAATATGATTCAATATTACGCGAGTCCTGAACCGAAGCAGTGCAAAGGTGATATAATGATTAC